ATACTGGACTCACTATGACACAGTATCACAAAATGGTTGAGGTTTGAAGGGACTTTTGGAGGTCAAACGTCTTGCTTGAGCCCCTGCTTGAGCAGGGACATCTACAGCAGGTTAATCAGGACCATGCCCCACCTGTTCTGAAGATTTTCTGATCTTGAAACACAAAGTTGAAGAACAGCTGTCTTAGACAAGAGTATGACTGAAAATTCAGTCACTGATGAAGGTGAAAATCTTCCCTGAAGCAAGAATTACTTCTCTGCAGTCTCATAAAAGACCTACATAATGTACCTGTGAGGTATGGGTGCAGTCTGACCACAAACACATTTTTTTTTTTTCCTGTTAATAGTGTAAATCACACTAGCAATTGAAGTATGATACCATATTAATCAATATTAAAGCATATTTTCTATCTATATAGGATATTCTCTATCTATACTATCATCTTGCTCAGTAACTTATTATCTCAGCTGATTCAGGTCTTGAAAATACTCTCAGATTTCAAAGATTCCCCCAAGACCTTAAATATTATTAGGAAACTTACTACATAGAAGACCCAAAACCACTGTGATATATCCCAGTCTTAAAATACAAAAACATTATACTCTGCTATCCTTCCATCCTTCCTAGATATGCAGAAAACACAAACAAAACACTACTTCAAACAAAAAATAAAGAATCTTGCTGATGCTTTGAACGTTACAGGGCTACTTGTAAGTAAGATCTACTTCAAACTGAAAAAAAGAAGGCACTCTAAAGCCAAGAGGTGGAACAACAGAAATCAGAAAAAGTATTAGTAGCAAGACACTGAGGAAAAAAAAAATAATCACAAACAATCCAACATATTAATGACAAACATACAAGAACCAGATGTGCCAAAATAGATCCTGAAATTTCACTGGCAAAAATCTCACAAATCAGCCACCGTAGAAATCTGAAATAAAAATCCTTCACGTTCTGCTCATTACTACAGAATTGCCTGAATTTACACATTTGTAGAGGCTACAGAGTGCAGTACACAGCATGTACTAGGGTACATAAGAATAAACCAGTGGTAAACTGTGAGTGATTTCTAACTGCATTTTACTAAACTTAAGATGAATTAAGATGAAGATTCTGACACTCTCTCTGAATGATTCTGGTATGTGACCATTAAAAAGTTCACCAGGCTAATTACTGGTGCAATTATGATTGTAACTGGATTTATCAGAATATTTAATAACATCCCCAGTCACATTTCACCACCATAGATCAAATCTATTCCAGTTTCACAGCAGCCTCAGAGAAGTATGATGCTTCTGTTGTACTGTAAAAATTTCATAGGATTCTTAGAGCAGAATCTATACTAAGATTTTGAAACTATGCTTTCAAATGTGTTACCACAAATCCTCCCAAAAGTTAAATGAGTTCTCAATAACTACAGAGGTCAACAAATCAACAGAATTACTGCAGGATTCAGCTTTCAATTACTTTAAAGGTAAAGAAAAAAAAAAAAAAATCAAACAGGTGAAAAATAAAAGTGTAATCAAAGAGTTAATATCTTCAAAACTCACCTTCAGACTTCAACTTCGTAAGAACAAAAATCAGGTAGTTGTTGAAATCTGGATACTGATTGAGTTGTTCTAGTTTCTGAAGTGAGAAACCGTTAAGGAGAAGTTGAATCTTACACATGCAGCATTTAGCCTTCTGGATGAAATTATTATTAAATTTCCAAACACTTCAAACAATTGTACAATTGTAAAAGCTTAAAATACTCAGAGTAAAAACAAACTGAAAACCAAGTCTGCAGTCCTTGTACTTTAGGGAATACCTTTTAGTTGTGAAGTACAGAAAAAAAAAATTATCCAAAGACAGAGAAGTTAATAGAATCCTTAAAGTGCTTTTAAAAACACTAAAAATGCTGCTTCTGTATAGTTTTTAATTTCAATGTTTACACTCAGAAGCTGAGACAGAATCTCACAACACATCTTTTTTTTTTTTCCCCATCATAAATAAAAGCACTCCAGCATTAAAGCACAACAGCGATTTATGATTTTGATAGTGAGAATTAGTATAATTTTAAGTGAGAAGATAATTTGCATCAGAAACTTATCTACTGTTTCTTAAAACAAGTAATACAGAACATTTCCTTTGCATACATATCCATTTTCTAGAGTGCTGGCTTTCTGAATGAGCTTCTTATTAACGTTTACTATATCATCTGCTGCTGTTTGGCTGGAACAGTCATCTGGCATTCTCTTTATAACCCGTTCTCATACACTGTTATTAATTGGTATTCTGAGTCACAAGCATGCAGCATCATCTTTAAGTCATACTGATGATATCTAGAAGGGTTAAACAAGACATTTAGCAAAAAAATGTTTTTCAAAGAAGAGTATTTACTTCACATGCACTGACTTTACTAGCTGTTTAGACGAATTGCTAAGCATTACAAGTAAAACCTTGACCACAGGCATTCACTGGGATATGATGACCCATTAAGTTCCTTCCAGTTCTAAAGAAACTACTTCCTTCCAGTGACCTACCAGTTCACCTAGTCCGAATCACAAACTTAGGAAATTTCGTTTTTAGATATTTAGGCTGCTTACATCAAGCAATGGTCAGAGAAGCCTGTCTGACTTAAAGAGTAAAGCACGCCTACTATAGATAGCCAAGTGAAAACAGTACTGATGATCTCACATGGCCCCTAAGAAATATAAAACACACACCCAAAGGTTGTTTTTTAGCTTCCATGCCAATAAGCTCTTTAAGAAGCAAAAAAGTAGGGTAATTTTTTTTCCTTTCTACACCAAGCCTCAGAAACATGACCACCAAAACAGTATGTCAAACAATACCAACAGCAATAAATTGCAGCAGCTCAAATACAAAGTAGCAGCAAACACAGAAAGAACTAGGAGTATTAAATAGAAATTTAACTAATCAATCAATGAACCAAGTAAGAGCTAATAGGCCATATTTTCCTCAACAACTTCTTCACCTACACTTTCCCTTTTTTTCCCCTTCAAAAAGCAATTAATTTCTTCATCTCAAAAACATCTGAAAGACTCTCTGATTCATAACTTTATTAGGATTTCGATACCAAAGGATTTTGGTTAACCTATGCTCCCCACTTCATTACAATTAGTTTCTAATCACATAAATGTGTCAAAACTGTGTCATAAGGTACAAGACAGCACACTGATAATCTTATATTAATGACTGAAAGTTCTTTAAATTTGAATCTTCTGATCCACCATCCTGCTTCGACATGCTGCTAAGCAGCATCCTATAATACAAGAAACCATCCCAGAGATTTGTGAAAACAGTTTCAAAGAAGATTTACTTAAAGTTACAGTTTGCTGTCTGTGAATAAGACATCAAAATTTTTCCTAAATGGATGTGTAACATTTTACAGGCCAGCATAGGAGGAACTTTCTGACATCACAGGTATCTGACCAGAGCATGCTGTCATTTCAAACATCAGTTAGAGGCATTTTTACTTAACTTCTGCACATCATTCAGACAACATCCACTACGTTGCCCATCCTACACCTACACTGCTATTTTTCAAAAAACAAAGCAAAAGTTATTACCCTTTTTTTTTCTTTTTTTTTTTTTTTTGAAGCAGAGCTTTAAAGAAATATTTTGTATTAAAACTACTGTTGCTATAAACAATTTTATATCTAATAAGAAATAAGAATTCCTGTTTGAGTTTGATGCATTATTTAGCCACACTGTGTAGGATTTTCCAAAGGCAGCAAAAGCATCTCAAAAATCTACAACACAGTTCAAAGAGCATGATGATCAAGATGAAAAATAACTTCACTTTTTAAACAATAGCAGAAGCTGTGCCACATCTGACTGCATCCGTTAGCAAAGCCTATGGGTTGAGTAAATTTGGCCTCAGGATAGACTCATTTTAAAAAATAACCTTATGTACATCTCTTCTTACCTACATTAACAAATTCTGATGCGGTCTGCAAAGACCTTGAAGCACATGCCTTAAGCAAAAAGAGATCACGATAATGAACTCATATCCTTCAGAGAATGCCAGTAGGACTCCCTTTCCAAAGCACTTACACAACCAACTCAGGAAACAACAGATATTTTTCAAGAGCCACGTTTCTATTAAGTCGTCGCTTAAATTTTCTTCTTTGTTCCTTAAAACCGTGACATTTCATCATTTCTAGAACCAAGGGACTTGACGGGCAGAAAAAAGAATCAGAAACAAATTCCACCACAAACAACTAACAGAAAATGCGCTGCGAATCGACCCAAGAAGAAGCAGACAGACAATCACCCCTTCTCGCCAATTTCACAGTCTAACGACGACGGCTCAGGCTGCCGGCAGGCAGGAACGTCCCCACCCGCAGCAAAGTGCGTAGCGTCAGAGGCGGCAGGCCGCCCAGAGCACGCCGCCGACGGTTCCGGCGGGGGCCCTCCCGCCCATAGCGCCGGCTTTCGCCTCGAGCCCCGGCGGGGGACGGGCTCGGGAGGCCCCGCCGCGCCTCGGAGCCGGCGGGTAGCCCTACGCGGGAGGCGGCGCGGCACCGGGTGCTCTTGGCGGGATCCGCCGCAGCGAGGGCCGCGCGCCCGCCTCGGCGCGGCCCGGCGCTGGCAGCGGCCCAGCGCGGGGTAACCCAGTAAAGCGGCTGACGCCGAAGCGGTCGCGCCAGAGCGAGGGCTTTAAAAAGCAGAAGCGGCCCTTGGCTTCGGGCTCGCAACAGGTGCCCGGCGGCCCTACGGCCCCGCAGGCCGCTCCGGCGGTTCAAACGCCGCGCCACGGCCGCCCGCTCCAGCGGATGCTCGGCCCACCGCATCGCGGCGGACCCCGGGCAGGGCAGGGCAGGGCAGGCCCGGCCGCCGCCTCGTCCCGTCCCGTCCCTCCCGTCCGCCCCCCGGGCCGCGCTCCCCGCCCGGCTCCCCCGGCACCCGCCCGGGCCGCGGCTGCCGTCCCGCTCTGCTCTGCCCTGCCCTGCACCGCTCTGCCCCGCCCGCCCCGCCCGGCGCAGGCCCCGGCCAAGGATACTTGTTGCACGGCTCTCTGCGTGGTGGTGTCCGGGGACTGCGATTCCTTCAGCAGCTGCAGGATCTGCTGGAGCCCCTGCTCGTCGGGCTTCCACTCGTACTCCATCTTGGCTGCCTGGAAAACAGCAGACAACAGGCGGCCGCGGTGAGCGGCGCAGCGGGGCAAGGCCGCGGGAGGAAGGGAGGGAGGGAAGGGGAGGGGAAGGAAGGGCGGGCGGGAGGACGGACGGACGGACAGGCAGACGAGAACGGAGGCAGGGCGTCGTGCGGAGCGCCAACCGCCCTCGCGGCCACCAACCGCCCCGCCAGCCCTGAGCCCCAGCGCGGCCCCGCAACGGGCGGGCGGACGGCACCGACCTGCTCCCTTCGCCACCCGCCGACAGACTGAGTCACGACCAATTTGTAATCTTGCCAGAGCCTCCGCGCGTCTTCTGGGTCCTAGTGCCGGGCTCGCCTCCGCCCGCCCGGGCTGCCTCGGGCCCGCCGGCGCCGCCGTCAGCCTTCCCCCTGTGCGTCCCACGCCGCCAGGAGCCTGCCGGCGAAAAAACACGGCCCGCCTCAGTCCCGGCCGGCACCGCGTCGGGGCCCCAAGCCCTGCACGGCGAGGAGGGAGAGCCCCGGCAGCCTCGTGGCGCGCGGGATGGCGGAGCCCGGCCCCACGGGACAGCCGCGGCTGGCGGCGGGCCGGGAGGCGGCCGCCCACGGAGGAAGGAGAGGAGAGGCGAGAAAGCGGAGCTGGCAGCGAGGGACGGGGTACCTGCCCGCCTTCTGCTTTCTGCTACGTGACTTGGTTTCGCGCCGGCTACGTTCGCAGTTAGACGTGCGAAGAGGGAGTAGGGCCAACCAGGCGGGAACGGGGGAGGGAGACACGAAGAGAACCCCTTGAATACGAAGTATATCTTATCGTTAGCCTCAAAATCAGCGGAGATCTAAGGTCAAAATTAGCAATTTATATATGTATTAACATCCGTACATATCGCTATTTATATCGGTTATACATATGCTAATGGCCAAAATACAAACACACACGACTTGAATGTGGTCTAAAACATGAAAACGAAAAACAATTCCTCAGCTTGTACAATCTTATTTTCAGACATCGTGTTTGTAAGCATCCTGCTTGTCTAACGGAAAACTAGAAACGGAAACTCACTTAGCACAACACTGGGTATGAGTGCTGCTGGCACACAGCATAGTGGTAACTGCCCAGAGGCACAGAGGACGGAATATTTCTGACTGCTGTATATCCCAGGTAATTTGCTGTGAAACTCCTTGTCTTGCCACCCCAAAGGTTTCATTAAAACAGTATTTAAATTACAATCAGCTGTCCAGTCTCAGATGCTGTGTCTTGGACAAGCTTTCCTCCTATTACAGTCAGCCACCACCCTTGCAGTAGCCTAAACTACTAGCACAGTCTATATACTATACTATATGTATATACTGTACTATAGTCTGTACCCCTAGCACAGTCTATCAAAACAGCAAAGCAGGCTGTCGTAAGTGTACTTACAGCATCTCCGTATCTGGATAATGAGGGCAGTATTCAATCAATCATGAATGCATGCACATTGGAATAAGAATCAGGAAAAGCTAAACAGCAGAAAAATATGCAGCATAGCATGCAAGAGAACAAAGTCATTGCAAAGCACATAAATAAATTTTAGAACAACAGCAACAAAGACAGAAACCAAACGTGTTTCTAAGTATCTTCTACTTAAAAAATTGGCACAGTTGCCACAAGGCTGTTAGGGAGAACAATTGCTAAAGCAGCACACCTCTTGGGAGCTTATCAGACTGAGATGCCTACAAATTAGAGTTACTAAAATGGGAGAGTAAAGGCTTGCCACCAGTTACTAGGAAAGGATGGGCACAACAGTTTATTGGAGATTTTTGTAATCTGTGAGAATTCCCATTAGTTTCCCTCTGGGACAGAAAGGTCTCAAGCAAAGACTCAGGCCGTTAAAAACTATGCTTGTGGTTCACAACATATGTGCAGCTTATAGTGATGCTTACACATCTAAAGCAAACAAAAGATGAGGTCCAACAAACCAACAAAATGCTCATTTCAGTCTCATTCCCCAAACTGCTGCCTTACTAGGAAGGTTTCAGAATCTTTGAAACATTGGGCTCACTGTCAAATTTGGGCGAAATTGATTACAGCTTCAAAAGTTGCTGTTCAGAATGTATGACACAAGGATTACATTGTTCTAATTTGATCAGGAAACCCAAATGCACTAGACAAAAATCAGATTAAACATGAAAAACAAGGGAAGAGACTACAAAGGAAGGCTGAGAGACAACAGGAAAAACCAAGAAGAGAAGCAGGCTGTGGGTCTGTGACTAAGAAAAACTGACATAAGAACATGACCAGAATTAATTCCATGTCTTTCTGCTGTAGAAAAGAGAGAAAAAAAGCCTAAAACTCAAACTAGAAATGGGAGCTGCAATCAGAGGAGTCATCTGAAAGCTTTATATGTTTGCCCTCAAGGGTAGGTTCCTCCTTAGGTCTTGAAGAGGATCTTTTGCCACTGGGAACTATTCGGTCAATATAGGCATCAAAGCAAAGACCTGCTGGATACTTTCTTTCTGTGATCATCACCATGAAGTTACTCTTACCCATTTCTAATCCTTTCAGTTCTATGAGGAAGCAGGCAAGAAGAAAATAAGTTAACTAAGTGAAGAAAAAAACACCGATTGAAAACAAAGAATATTCTTGAAAAAGTGAGAAAAATGCTTCTTTCCGTTAATTTTTCTGTTTTGTTTCCTAGGACCTGCTTCCTTCCCTCCAGAGAGAAATTCAGAATCAGTGTTAAAACACAGTCACAGGAATAAAAGTTACCCATCAAAACATATGATGGCCTTCTTCATCCCACTCAATCAGTGGAAAGCACCAGAAATAAACTTGAAACACCACATCTACATACATTAACAAGACAGAAGCTCACCAAAGACAGGAGATTGGCGCAAACACTGAAGCCAAAATTTGATTTCTGTTTCTATCCAAGCTTCAAATGCACTCTAGACATAATCCAGTGGTATCAAAACAAATTGTATTATTTAAAAGTAACATATCCAAACAAAACAACACCCCACCAAAATACAACCAAAATACTGAGTTAGTCTGATCTTTCTTGATAACATTTACCTTCTTATATTTGAATATCTACTAAGAGTGCAGATATTTGTTTTGTTGCCAAAAATACTCTTCCTCTGTCAGGCTTGACTAGTGGGTCAGGCTAAAATGACACTTTTCAGTCATTTCTCATAAAAGGATACAGAAGCTATCTGCAAGATAAGGCAGAACTACCCTGCTCAGCAAGGAATGAGCTATCAGTCCTAGAAGTCAGAAACTGACTGCCACCACCAGACCTGTAATCTCAGGCCCGAGTACTTTCACAGGATATACAGAGAACAACACGCTGCTCATTCAACAAAACATCTGCAATACTGTTCTGTGAAAAATTCAGCTCTGCACAAGAGCAAGGTGTGCAGGAGCACAGGGCCGGAGCTGCCCAGGGCTGCACCCGCCCCACGCCGGGAGCTGCGCTGTGCGTGGCCCAGGGCAGACGGTCTGGGTCTGTGGGCTTGGGGCTGAGCAGGAGTGGGACCAGGTGTGTGCGCCGCGTGTGGCTGGGGGGTGAGAGCCACTGCAGGTTGAGGGCGCTGCCTCTCATTTCCTGATGGAGCAGCGGTCCTGTGGTCATGGCTAAACTTCAGTAAAAATTTTGAACATATGCCTTTGGGTCTTGTTTCTTCCATATTTGCAGACTGTCCCAAGCCAATTTTGTGACAGAGCTGCTGAACCAAACAGGTCTATTTAAGTCAAATGGAAACATGAAAATGATGTCACTTTATGTCCTTCCATCTAGGGGACTTCCACCAATTGCTGCTAAAGCTGACAGCGCTCCTGCTGTGCTGCTATTGCCTCTGGATTCTTTTTCCTCCCCCTTCTGCACCCCTGGCTGCTTATCACATTGCAGAGCTCCGTTAAAGTTTGTTAAAGGAGGTAGTCTGCCCTCTGCCCAAACCAGGGCTGTGGTAGCAGTGCACAGGGTGCTTGTGCCTTTTAGTCCACCAGGCTCAGTGGCGTGACAACAGCAAATGCCACGGTTACAGGAGGACCCTGAAAAAATATTACAGATGATTAGAAGTATATTTAGAGCATACGGTCTGACATGGATGGACATTTGTCAGTTGTTAGACACTACGTTTACTACAAATGAAATAATCTTAATTCTGTAGAACAGAGACCAGATTGCAGCCCAAGATGACTGAACAGTGAGGCCAGAACAAGAATCAGGTTGAAATTGAGACACAGGCAGGGGTGGATATGCTTAGAACATGCAGAAATGTGCTAGGGTCTGCAACAGTAGCAGCAAGATAAAGAGTGCTAAATTGAACAAAGTTAACAGATTGTCATCAAGAGTTAGAGGAACACCCCTTGGCTCTTCTAACAAGGTTGGAGAAACAGCTGCGAATACAGGAATAGAACCTAAGCAGACAAAATACACCCTCACTGTTTGTCGATCAAGCAGCCCCAACATCAAGAAATCTTTTACTAAACATTTCCCAGGATGACAATGTAAATCAATCAGAGAGCACAGAAATATTTGTATATAATGAATGCGATGAAGACAAAGCTAGTCAAAAAAGGAATCAGAAGGAAAAGGCAAGCTTTCTAGCAGCAGCCTTACTAGGGGAGGCAAAGAAGCAACAGAAATCAGAAAAGCAGAGATCATAGTCTCTGATCAGAGATCAGTTAAGACCAGAGAACTGTTGCAGTCATTGCAAGCAATCACAGCACTGGAGAGGAGAATGTCCAGTTACCCTAAGAAGAAGACCGAGACCACAGTTTAGGGAAGCCCAATAGGGCAGGGAACAAGATGAAGTTGTGCACAACTTCCAGGTCCCCAGCCTCCAGTAGAGGAAACAAACACAGGAATACACGTTCCAGGAAGATCCTGGGAACAAATATTAAACATTTGAAATAAGGTTTATACACAGTTTAGTTGATACTGGGACAACTAACTCCACCCTAACCAATTTCCTAGTGAGCTCAAAGATGAAGGAAATGTAAACGTAGTAGGTATATAAGGAAAGCAGAGATATGTTTCACAGGTGGAAGTGATGCTACAAACAGACAGTCTACTATCAGCACATAATCACTTTAAATGAAAATTATCACCTGCAAATTTATTACAGTTGGACTTACTGTGTAAACTGTGAGCAGGACTGGTACGTATCCCTGAAGGAATAACTCAAAAACTTGCAATAGATTCAAAAGTAATGATGGTTGTAGATCAGAAGAAAATAAACAAAATCCCTCAGGAGATAAAAGACATACTGACATCTTCGTGGGTATGGTGTTCAAAAAATGAGGAACTATTAAAGTCAGCAACTCCATTTACACTGGAAATGAAAGCAGGGGAAATCTCTCTTCTTAAAGAAATACCCACTGTCACAAGAGCTGAAGGGGAAAACGTGGCCAATGACTGAGTTTTTGAAGGTGGGAATTTTCACTCCTTGTAACACACCATTATTACCACAAAGAAGCCAAATCTTGGCCCAGAGAGAAAGACAGTTTTCAAGATTCGTCTAACACCTAAAAACAATTAACAAATGGGGAGTAATATCTCTCTCAGTAGTCCATGATCAATAACTAGAAAACTTTGATAATGAAAACTGTAAGATATTTGTCTGTAATTTATTTCCATGCAGCTTCATTTAGTATTTCATTGCAAGATGATTTTTAACATGTAATTCCCTTGTCTTGGGAGGAGCAAAAAAATGACATGAACCAGCATTTGTAGGATCATCTCCAGTATTTCCAAAGATCTTACATTGGTAGCGTATTGAATTACTAAATAATTATGTGCAATCAATATGCTGATCGTTTTCTAATTGCTGGTTCAAATCACAGGTAAAACAAATCTGAAAAAATACAAAGACTTTTTACTGTGCCCTTCTGTTGAAAAGGACTGCTGAGCTTCCCCAGCTAAATTACACTTTCATAAGTACAAAGTGAAATATACAGGATATGTGTTACCTGAAAAAGGCAGGAAAATACCTAATAAGTGAATGAATACCATTCAGAATATGCTTCAGCCTGTAACAAAGAAACAGTGTGGAACATTTTTAAGAGCTGTAGTTATGCAAACTCCAGCAAACGCCTTTAGAGAAACAGCTGCAGTACTGGTGGCTTGAAATGGCCTTTGGACATGGGAGAAAGCATCTGTAATGTTGAAAGTTTTGGTGACAGCGCCCACATTTGTGATATCAAATTACCATAAACCATTCCATTTACTTTTCTCTGAAAGGCTAGTGCCCGTGGGATCTTTGCACAAACTTTGCAGAAGCACCCAGCTGCTTATCATTCAGCCCTCAAGCTCCCAGTTACAAAAAAGAAAGAGAGATGTATTAGAATGATAGCCTCAGCAGCATTAATGGTAGAAGAACATCAGAAGATTGTATTAGGACATCCACTGATTGTAAATAACCCACATAATGTTGAACTGAGTTAACTAAATGAATTATCACAGGTTTTGACTTTTCAGTCTCCAGAAGTACCTACTGCTGTTGTTGCAGAGAGGAGAAAATCCTCTGGAGAAGATGCAGTGCCTTGATCACAGCTGCCTTGTTACCATTACCAGATGAAGGAGAATTACATCATGACTGCAGAGAGATCACACAAGACCAAGAAAAGATAAAAGCAGACCTTATAGGTAAAGAATCACAAAATGGTTTTGGTTGAAAGGGACCTTAAAGATCATTAATATCAAAACTCTTGCTATGAACACACACAGGCACCTTCCATGAAATCAAGCTGCTCAAAGATCCATCCAGCTAGGTGTTGAACACTTCCAGGGATGAGGTACTCACAACTTCTCTTGGTGACCTGCTCCTGTGCTTCACTACTTGAATTAAGAATTTCTTCTTATTGTCTAACCTAAATCTACCCTCTTTTAATTTAAAGCCATTACTCTTTGTTCTGCCACTGTACTTCTTGATAGAGCCTCTCTCTTCTCTGCCAGCTCCAGACTTGACTTCTGTAGACGGAACATCTTTGGATCAGGAAAGAAAGTGAGTTACAGAGTTACACTGTGACTCAGAATTAGATAGTAATAACAGTCTATTTCTATCAAATCAACTACTTGAGCAGCTGAGCTGATAGCCCTGACAGAAGCCTGCAGGGAAGCATAAGGAATGAAAGTTCACATCTCTTTGGACTTGAAATACACGTTTGATATCTGCTATGCTACAGGAAACTTGCAGAAACAAAGAGATTTTGTGACCTCCAGACTTGCAGCAGCAGCTAGATAGCAAATGCACAACAGATCAAGAATTTGTTTTCCAAGAAAGTATAGGCCTGGATGGCTACAAGAAATAGGGGGGACTGCAGGGAAAGGGCTAACTGTCCTGCTCTGCTCAGCAAGTGAAGTGCTGTTTGTTCTAGGAGACGGACACTGACTTTGTCATCACCAGAGCTCTAACCTCACGCCTGAGCACTTTCACAGGATATACAGAGAACAACACGCTGCTCATTCAACAAAACATCTGCAATACTGTTTTGAGAAAAATTCAGCTCTGCACAAGAGCAAGGTGTGCAGGAGCACAGGGCCGGAGCTGCCCAGGGCTGCACCCGCCCCACGCCGGGAGCCGCGCTGTGCGTGGCCCAGGGCAGACGGTCTGGGTCTGTGGGCTTGGGGCTGAGCAGGAGTGGGACCAGGTGTGTGCGCCGCGTGTGGCTGGGGGGTGGGAGCCACTGCAGGTTGAGGGCGCTGCCTCTCATTTCCTGATGGAGCAGCGGTCCTGTGGTCATGGCTAAACTTCAGTAAAAATTTTGAACATATGCCTTTGGGTCTTGTTTCCTCTACATCTGTAAAATGCCTTGAGTCACTTTTGTGACATATCTCATTCAAAATCCAGTACTTAAGAGTATTGGCTACTAATGCATGAGGCAGGCTTCAACTCATTCTTTTTTCTAGGGTAACGAATCTAAACTTTTCTGTAAGTTTCTTTGCCACCACATTACAGTGTACTTAGCACTAGGTCTTTTAATCCGGTATTGTCTTCCACAGCATTATGAACAGATATTAGTGGGAAACTGAATTAGAAATTATTTCCTAACCAGTATTCTGTAAAATAATTGACATTAATGCCTCAAATACAAAAATAGGCAGTGCCAGTATCTGGGAAATTTTTAACAGAATACCTCCCCCACCATTCCAGCAGTCTCAGCACATTGAAAAGAGAAATAGGAGACTCTGGTACAAATCCCTGCTGACACCTAGTCAACAAAGATTTGAATTGGTAGGAAGATATCACATCCCTCAAGTACCTTAGCCACCAAGCTGTATCTTTGGGAACTGCAATTTATTGCTACTAGCAGTTTGAAAACTGATTTCAAATATTCTGTAATGAAAATTACTCCATTGTCCTAATTTCACATTATTTTTTGACAGCTTCAGCCACTTTAGAACTTACAAAGTATTTCCCTGTCTTTAATTTTACTACATTAGAAATCCTGTGTTGTTGTATTTTTTCCCCTTTTAGGCAGAGAATTCTAACAAGTTACCTTTCTTC